CTCCTGGGCTCACGCCTAAGCTGCACATGCCCTGATCTGATTCTAATTAGCATCCCAAACATGTTGAGTTAACAAATAAACTGAGCTGAATTAATGAGGGTATGAGTGCCTAGGTTAAAGTATGACTATTAAGTGGGTCACGTGCAGGACAAATTCAAATAGCATTGCAGAAGCTGGTGAAACTAAACCAACATTAGAACTAAAGCTCACAGAAGGTGGGTTGGACCTTGCAGCTTGGATCTAATCAGCCATTTGTCTACTAAAAACAATAACATGAAAAATTCTCTGTAAGATTTAAACAAGATCTAGAGGCTCTTAATACAATATTCAAAATAACCAGGGTACCCTCCAAAATTATTCAGCATATGAAGAACCAGAACTTGCATGAGAATAGACAATCAATAAAAACCAAGGCCAAGACAACACAGATGTTGGAATTAACTCATAAAGACTTTAAAACAGCTATTGTAAAAATGCTTTAACAAGGATTACAGACACTGCTGAAATAAATGGAAAAGTGGAAGTGTTTAGCAAAGAAATAGAAGATGTGAGGAGGAACCAAATGGAAATTTTAGAACTGAAAAGTACAATAAAACAAGAAAAGAAACAGTATCTCACTGGGTGTGTCCAATAGTGCAATTCAGATAACAGAGGAAAAAAACAGTATCTTGCAAGTAGATCAATAAAAATTATTCAGTCTGAACAACAGAGAGAAAAAAGCCCTATTCTACACACAAGAAAGGAAAGAAGAGATCCTCAGGGACTTGTGGCACATTACAGAAATCGAGTATTCATTGTGATCTCAGAAAGAGAAGAGAAAAACTATATACTGAAAAATAATTGAAAAAATAATAACAATATATAAAGTGGGTAAAAGCCTATAGATTTAATAATTTCAGCAAACCCCAAATGGGATAAATCCAAGGAAATGTATGGCCCAATATTTCAAAATCTAGATGTTGAAACTTAAGACTAACAAAACAGCCTGAAAACATCCAGGGAACGATGATGTACTACTTATGGGGAATAGTGACCCAGTTGGCTGCAGATTTTTGTAAAGAGCTAGGAAGAAATACCACTGCACATTTAAACACAGAAAAGAAAGAACTACCAGCCCCGACTTGAATGTCCAGTAGAAATAAATGGGAAGAAAGGGTCCAGAGGGGAAGAGGAAGTGGGAGAGGTTGGGGAAAGGAAAGAAAGGAATGGAATCAATATGAGAAAAGGAAAAAATGGAAACAAAGTCTTTGTAAATAGGGAAGAATGGAGAGTTTGAAGGGAGGGCAGGGGGATGTGGGAAAAATAAAAACTGAGATAGATTATGTAAAGATACAAATTTCCAATGATGAATGTCATTATATTGTATACCTAAAGTGTATCAATAAAATTAATAATAAAAAAGAAATGAAGGTTAAACAAAGACAATCTCATATAAAAAATTCAGAGGATTTGAAGCCAGCATACCTACTTTAATAGGATTGTTAAAGGAGGTTTTTCATTTACAAAAAGTAAATGATATCAAAAGGAAACTAGTATCATCAGGAATGAAGGAAAAGCAGCCAAAGTAGTAGTATGTACATGGATTTAATGCACTAGTCTTCTTGTGTATTCTGAAATATATCTGATGGGTGAAAGCAAACAGTGAGATATTATCTAATGGAGTTTTCAGTGTACATAGCTGCAACTGACAGAAAAAAAAATAGATAGGAGAATAGACCTATACTGTGGTGTTTTCTTTATTCTATTTGAAGTAAAAAATATTGATTTTATGTAGATTGTGAAAAGTAAATATATTATAATCTCTAACACAGTCAACAAACATCTATTAAAAAAACCAGAGCCAAATCAAAATTGAGAAATGTAATACTAAAAGCTTTCAACATACCCCACAAAAAGGCAGGAGAGGGAAGACAGAAGAACAAGAAATACAGATAGATCTAAACAATAAACTAAAAATATCAATAATAATATTAACTATGAATGGCCTATCCATACCAATTAAAAGATAGGTATTATCAGAAAAGATAAAAAAACACACCAAATAACAAAAAATCCAACCCATGATCCAGTGAATTCACTTCAAATATAATCATATTGATAAACTAAAGAAGGTGGTAAACGATATAAAACAAATCAAACGTACATGTGTTAATTAAAAGAAGGCCAGAGTGGGAATATATTAATGAATCAATTGTCATCTCAGAAAACTTGTTTCCAACAAATCCTTGTAACTTTTATTTTCACTGGCAAAGGAGAGTTTGAGTGGCCTAAATTTTCTAAGAATATGGGAAATACCACATTTTATAAAGGATATTTACTTTTCCCTATATCTAAAAGCTGGATTCCAACAATTCTTATAACTGATGCTCTATTTCCATGCCTTCCTGTATATACAAAATCCTTTTATGTCAGTTTTGAAGTGATAGTAGCTTTGAATGATAATAGTATTGTGTGTTATATTGGACAACATTTTATTTTTTTATTTATTATTATTATTTTTTTTGGTACCGAGGATTGAACTCAGGTCCTTATGCTTGCAAGGCAGGCCACTAAACCACTGAGCTAAATCCCTGGCCCTATATTGGACAGCATTTTAAACGGCAATTGAATCAGTAATGCACATAAAGTGATGACCATATATATGAACACTATAAGCTATAGGCAGTGACAATGCCTGCAATTTCCTCCCTTCTTTTAAGAGGCCGTAGACTGTAAGAAGCATCTACATAAAAAGTGGTTTTAGACTCAGTATGATAAAGTGTAAACATAAAATAATGCTCAGAATATCATATACTTCAAAGCATTCACATTGTTCATCTGTGAATTGGTCAGTTGGCAGACAAATATGTTATCAGCTTTTGAGATATACCTGTGAACAAAACATTTAAGATTCTCTGATCTTGAGGAGCTTATTGGAGCAGAAAAATGATAAATAATAACTATCACAAATAAATTATAGCGAAAGTGAGGACAAGGGAGGAGGGGATGCAGGGGATTGGGGATGGAGTTGGAAGGGCTGTGGTGAGCTAAGGTACTTAGAGTAGTCCCTTTAAAAACATTTGAGCCAACTTGACAAAGGGAAGGAGTTAGCCAAATGAATGTGTGGTAGAAGATGTCGCAGTCAGAGAATAGGTTGTGCAAAAGTCCTGAGGCTGAGATATGTCAGAATGTTCTTGGTCTGGAAAGAAGCCAACATGGCTGTGGCAAGGAGCTAAGGGAGAGCACAGGTTAGGAGGCAATGCCAGAGAGGTGACAGGCCCTATTGTGTGAGGCCTTGTAGGCTATCCTGAGGAGCTTGGGCTTCGCTATAAGAAGAATCACATATTAGGAGTATAAAAACACTGCAGTTTCCATTATCACACTTTTGATTGTCCACTGGGCCATCCCTCCTTTTCTCCACTCCTCCTTTCTTCTTTGAACAAACACATGCTTTACTTTAATTTTTTTTTTAATTTTAGAGGAAGCAGTGCCTCGTTGGAATGCTTCACACACTGGTTTCTTTAGAAACATTTTGAACCTTAGCCCACAGAGCAGAAGATAGAAAAATACCATAATTAGTCTTAGCCACTGTTTCATACTAACTCTGCAAGAAGAAAAGAGGTCCAATAAGTCAAATACAGAGGACACCCGGGTATTTCAGTCCCCATTAAGAACAGTCACTCTACACGTTTTTATGTAGCTGATGGTGTATTCTGGGTGAAGCCAGACTTATAAATTTTACCTGTGATTTAGTGAAAACACTTGGTTTTTCTTGGAATGACTTACTCACTTTTAAGAAGGGAAGATTTTTGACTGCTGGACAAGACATGAGGCCAGTTATGGGATCAGGTGTGGTGATAGGTTTCTAGGAGGAGCATTGTACGTGGCATCACTTTTTAAAATTTGGGAGAGGAATGTTGTCATTATTATTCCTAAAGGAAATGAGGAAGTGGCAAATGTGAAGGAGGGATTACACCACTGAGATGTTCTCTTTACTCCAGGGACTCTTCTTCACTTCTCTCTCCTTTGTAAGATGATTAATGGATTGATTTTATTTGAACTGGAGGGACAAATCAAACCATTAGATGTTTATATTGAGAGCAAATACATTAGTAAAGGCAGTGAAGCTTTCTTTAGGCCACATGGCCTGCCCCCAGCCCATAAATGCTCCTTCTGACTTTCCAACACAACTGCCAAACACTGCCTCCACACATTCTTTTCAAAACTTCTTTTCCATTCCAAATCCACTTGGTACTTTCATTATGGTCTTGTTAAAATTGCAAGATGTCCAGAGGGATTTTAAGGATAGATTTTTTTCCCTTTAGTGAGGATCAGAAATGGAAGAAGTATATAAAAGCATTTGTAGCCCATATTCCTTCAGGGAACCATACTAAAGAAAAAGAGTGACACTCCTATAGGAAGAAGGTCTTTTAATTTGACATTGTTTTAATAGTCAGCATTTGGGTAAATGTATATGGTTCCCTTTATTTTAGTACCTTGTAGAACATCCTAAATAGGGCTATTGGGACAGATAATATTACTTTATTTACATGTGGAACAAATAAGTGAATGTAACTATGAGATATATGTTAGTTATTGGCTTCATGTAAGTGCAGCCATGAATTTATGATATAGGTTTTAAGAAATAGGTCTATTTTATCTGATTTTAGATCCCTCTTCTTACTTCTTCTAGGTAAGACTTTTTTATGGGGATCTGATACTTTTTTATTTTCATGTATGGATATAAAACATTATGGAGGACTCCTAACTTTGTCTTATGTTTTCCTATCTAGGAATATATATTTAAATGTAGTAAAACCCTGTTGTAAATGACAAATATTCACCATAATGATCCTTCTGAATTGTGTTTGCTCTCTCCATGTCCCCTGGTTGAGAGGTAAAAGGTCAGAAAGTAATGATCTTGGGAATAGAATGCTAGATTCTGAATGGTAGGACCCCCTGCAACTTGTAGGTACATGAAAAACTCATAAATTACTTTTTATAATTATTTTCCCCTTTAGCTCTTGAACTTACCTGAATTGATTGATGACTCCAAGTATAAAACCAACCATCTTCGGGTACAAAATAGAAAAGAGCTTATTAAAATACTGTCTGCACGGTAAGCATAGATTAATAGACATTTCAAAGTAATATATGATGTGATAACCATTTATCTGGTGCTTTGTATTTTTTCTTTTTGGCTTATTTAGATCAGTTTGTAAAATTATCTGTTTACCAAAATTGTATAATGAAAAGATATTTTAAATTATTTGTTGTTGTTGTTCAAAAACATTCGAAAGCATTTAAATGTTTTATTAAGCACTGAATTGTAACAATAATATAAATAGAAAGGTCACAATGTCTTGAAATGAGTTACTTATCTGTGGCCTGTAACTGTTTGGGTTTAGTGTATTATAAACAGTAACAACAACAATTACAACTACAATTATATTTGACATTATTTTGTAATGTTATTGTGATAAATGCTCTGTGTACATTATTCTATTTAATGCTTATAATCACTCTGAAAGGTAGGATCTTTTATTTCCATTTCATAGATAAGGAAATGAAGGCAAAAAGAGGAAAACTCAAGGATTTATTAGCTTTTCTGAGACCCTTGTGTGAATCAAGATGGTTTATGGGTCATGTTAATTAATTAGAATGTTTGATTTTCAAAGTACTCCTTCATGTCAGATTGTGCTTTTGTAAAACATTTACTACTTTTTAAACTTTGCCTAAAAAAGAAACCCCAAAATAGTAATCTGACTCTGTCATAGCAATCTTGCTTATGTTTGCTTTTAAGAATATTCTTTGTGAGGAATTGAAATTATCACCTGTATATTATCAGATCATGGTGTAATAAAATTGAAGATCAATAGCAAAAGAAACCACAAACACATGGAAATTGATTAACACCCTCCTGAACTACCAGTGGGTCACAGAGGAAATTAAAGAGGAAATTAGACAGTTTCTGCAGTTAAATGACAATGCCAGTAAAACATATCAGAATTTAGGGACACAATGAAAGCAGTCCTATGAGTGAAATTCATAGCAGTGAATACCCATATTAGGAGAACAGAGTGAGGTCAAGGTAAACAACCTACTGCTGAACCTCAAGCTTCTAGAAGAAGAGCAAGACAAATCCAGAGCTCACCCAGGGGAGGAAATTATAGAGATCAGAGTAGAAATCAGTGCAGTGAAGGCTAAGAGAATGGTACCAAAAAATCATGGAGTCAAAGAGTTGGTTCTTTGAAAGAATAAACAAAATTGATAAGCCCTTAGCCAACCTTATCAAAATAAAAATAAAAAAAGGAAAGAAAAGACCCAAATCCATGCAATTTGGAATGAAAAGGCCAATCACCGTAATGAACATAAATGCAAAAATCCTCAATAAGATGCTGGCAAACAGAATGCAGAAGACCATCAAGAAGATGTACGTTCTACCCAAGTAAGATTAATCCCAGGGCTGGGGATTTGGCTGAGTGTTTCCACCGCCTGCCTCACAAGTGCAAGGGCCAGAGTTTGATCCCCAGTACCAAAAAAAGAAAAAAAAAGAAAAAGATTAATCCCAGGGATGCAAGGATGGTTCAACATATGCAAATCAATAAGTGTAATACACTATATTAATAGAGCCAAGGGTAAAAAGTATATGATCATCTCAATATATGCAGAAAAAGCACTCAGAAAAATCCAACACCCATTCATGATAAAACCCTACAGAAAATTGGAACAGTCAGTCTTTATCTCAACCTGATAAAAGCCATATTTGAAAAACCAACAGCCAACATAATACTAAATGGCCAAAAACTGAAAGCTTTCACTCTAAAATCAAGAACTAGACAAGGATGGCAACTATCACCCTCCTGTTCAGTATAGTTCTGGAGACATTAGCCCTGGCAATTAGACAAGAGAAAGAAATAAAGGAATAAAGAGAAGAAATGGAGAAATTACATTGTCATTATTTGCGTGATGGGATACTCTATGTACAAGACCCCCAAAACTCCACCAAAAGTCTTCTAGACTTAATAACCAAATCCAGTAGAGCAGCTGGATAAAAGGTCAGCACTCAAAAAATCTATAGCTTTCCTGTACATGAACAATGGATTTATTAGAGAAGAACTGGAGAAATAACTTTTTTCAAAATAGCATAGAAAAAAAAAACACCTGGGAATAATCTAATGAAAGAAATAAAAGATCTCTATTGTGAAAACTAGATCATTCTGACAAAAAAGATAGAAGAGGATATCAAAAAATGGAGAAACATCCCTTGTTCTTGGGTAGGAAGAACCAATATAGTGAAAATGGCTATACTTCCAAAACTGCTATATAGATTCAATGCAATCCCAATTGAAATTTCAAGAGCATATTTCACAGAACTAGAGAAAACAATCCAAAAATTCATTTGGAACTAGGAGATACTTAGAAGAGCAAAAGCAATTCTCGGCAACAGAGACATGATAGGGGTTATCATAATTACCAACTTGAAACTATACTATAAAGCTATTGTAAATAAAACAACATGGTACTGGCAAAGAAAGATACCTGAGAATCAGTGGGACAGATTAGAAGATGCAAAAATGACTCCAGACATGCTCAGCCACCTTATCTTTGACAAAGGAGCTGAACACCCTCACTGAAGGAATGATAGCCTTTTTAATAAATGGAGCTGGAAAAACTGGGTTTCATTTTGCCAAAGATAGACCCATATCTCTCACCATGCACTAAACTAAAATTGAAATGGATAAAAGATCTAAATATTAAAACAGAAACACTAAACCTGCTAGAACATGGGCTAGGTGGAACTCTTCAAGACATTGGTGTAGGAAAAGACTTTATGAACAAAACCTCAGTTGTATGTGAATTAGCACAAAGATCAACAGTTGGGATCTCATCTTATTAAAAAGTTCTGCCTTTTCTCTTTTACTTTCCTTTTTAGTTTTATTTTAGGATTCCCTATTTTTAATGTTCATACAGAGATTTCTTTAACTGAAATACCGAATAGTTTCTTTGGTGTGAAAAGCTATAATAGTACACAGGATCCTAAGGAGATAATTAATAATGTGAAATAGGAAGTAAAGGGCTAAAGGTGTAGGGAAAGTGGGAAGGGTGGGGAAAAGGTAATAAGGGAGAAGAAAAAAAATATGAGAAACTGAAAAAATGGAAATAAAGTGTTTGTAAATGGGGAGAGGAGGAGGGGGTGGAGGACGGGGTGAAGGGAGGGCAGGGACAAAGGGAAAATATGAGAATCAAGACCTATTATGTAAAGGTACAGAATCCCAATGATGAATGTAATTGTATTGTATACCTAGATTGTACCAATAAACTCAATAAAAAGAAAAAAAAAAGTTCTGCACAATAAGAGAAACCAGCAACAGAGTGAAGAGACAACACATGCTGTGGAAAAAATTATTTTACCAGCTGTTCCTCAAACAAAGGTCTACTATCTGGAATATGTAAAGAACTTAAAAATATCATATCCCCCAAATTTAAAGACCCAATAAAAATGGGCATCTGAAATGAAGAGACATTTCTCAGAAAAGAAGTATAAGCAACAAGTAAATATATGAAAACATGTTTAACATCACTGGTTATTTGAGAGATGCAAATGAAACAATACTGAGATTTTACTTTAGTGCAGAAGGAATGGCTACTAAGAAGAAATAAACCAATAACAAATGCTGGCAGGGCTGTGGGGAAAAAGGAACTCTTTTCCACTGTTGGTGGAAGTGTAGACTGGTACATCAATTGTGGAAATTAGTATGGAAATTCCTTAAGGGACAAGGGGAAAAAATGAGAACCAAGACCTGTCATGAAAAGGTACAAGATCCCAATAATGAATGAAACTGTACTGTCTACCTAGAATGTACCGATTAACTCAATGAGGAAAAAAAATCTAGGATTAGCTCCAAGACCTGTCATGTAAAGGTACAGGATCCCAATAATGAATGAAACTGTACTGTATACCTAGAATGTACCGATTAACTCAATGAGGAAAAAAATCTAGGATTAGAAGTACCATTTGACCCAGCTGTTCCATTGCTGTTTATTTTCCTGAAAGAATTAAAAACATCATACCACAGGATATGCGCACCCATGTTTATAGAGGCACAGTTTGTCATAGCCAAGTCTTGGAAACTAAACAAATGCCCATCAGCTGGTGACTGGATAAAGAAGGTGCATTTTTAATTGTTAGCAAGATGGAGTACTACTCCATCATAAGGAACGATAAACTAGGTGCATTTATAGTTAAATGGATGCACCTTGAGGCCATACTCTTTTAACTGTCATAAATAGGACAAATGTGCAAATAAACAATTGTTTCCTTGGTATGAGAAACTTAAAGTAAAAATAAGCACCAAAATATACAATAAATAACATGATATAGGAAGAAAATGTTCATAGGGGAACTGAGGTGAGGAAAAAACTAGAAAAGAAGGAAAAAATGGAAACAAAGCTTTTATAAATCAGGAGTGATAGAGGGGTGGAAGAGAGGGAAGGGGAATGGGAAAAAATAAGGACCAAGACACATCACGTACGGATACAAAATCCCAATGATGAATGTGATCATAATGTATACCAAAAATGTACCAATAAACTTAATGAGTAACAATAATAAAAAAGAATAGTCTTTGTGGGTTTCATGAATCTAAATATCCATATGGGCAGTTCTTCAGGATTGAAAATTTGTTATAATTATGGCAATAAATTAAGTACTTTTGTTCAGATACCACATCTAGGTTTTAAAAAATGCCCACATATATAATATATATGAACTTTTAAATAATAAAATTCTGCTGTTACTTTTATTTCTGTTCCCTTTCTATTTTGCAGCCCCTACATTAAATTCTTAGTTAATATTAATTTATGTCTTTGCCTTTTTGGATTTTAAACACTTCTCTGCACCGATTATCATTTGTCAAATGTTTTCTATGTCAGTAGTGGCTCTGTGTGTGGGACTGATACACACAGACCAGGGAAATGACAATTAGGTGCCCCTTTCCTGGTTAGTGGTTAAATATAACCCAGATTCTCCTGCAAAGCCCTAGAGCCCTCAGTGATTAACCTTTCTCTACATGAGAATTGGCCATTTATTTCAGTCTTTTGCCTTTTTGCCTCTCA